GCTGGGTGCTGATTCACTGCTTAAGGAAGTTCCATTCTGACTTTTATTACATCAGAATGGCATGAAATCAAGGAGGACACTTCCTTTTATGTAGAGAATTTGATTTTTCTTTACTTTTTAAAGTCATATTCCTACCTATTTCCAGCCCATGAATATCACCTATTCATCCTGAAGTAAGACAATGAAAGACTTTGGGGAACTCATAAAATATCACTGTCAAATCCATATTTTTTTACCCTTTAGACAGATGCTTCCTTTTCAGAGACTGGTTTTCACTTCCAACATACTATCATAGCATCTGATTTTATGAACAATCTTATGAAAGTAGTGGGGTCCTACCTAATGACACTCAATGTGGTCAAAGCCATCTATAAATCATATATAGAATAGGCTCCTGGTGAACAGTTTGGAAAACACACAATTCACAGGTCTCAGAGAGTGGGATTCCAGGGTCTAGTGAGACTGTGGAAACCATGTGGTACTAAAGGGAGAGCCCAGGCTTGGATGTCAGACAAATATCTCTGTCTGACCCCAGCCCACTACTTATATAAGCTTAGTGATTGTTGGACAAATTGTTTAGCCTCTCTGAGCTTCAGATACCTTCTCTATATAATGGGAATACTAATATGTTCACTTTCAGGGCAATTCTGAGGAGTGAATGAAATCCCACTGTATTGGTTAAGAGCGCAATTCCAAACTGAATCCAGGGTCCACTACTTAGCATTGCGTGATCTCGGGCAAGTTCTCCAGCCTCTTTGTGCTTTAGAATTCCATGTATAATCAATAAACTAGGGATAACGATGGCATCTACCCCATAAGGACTACAGATTAGGAGAGATAATCTATGGTGTTTGCTGTAGGCAAGGGGTGTGGGGTATGAAATAGGTGAAGCGAATCAAAAGGTACAAACAGTTATACAATAAATAAGTCCTAGAGATGTGATGTATAGCCTGATGACTATAGTTAACATTTCTGTGGTATAGAAAGTTGCTAAGTAGATCTTAAAAGTTCTCATCACAAAGAAAAAAAACTGTAATCATGTGTGGTGATGGATGCTAACTAGACTTATTGTGGTGCTCATTTCCTAGTGCATACTAATTTAATTATGTTGTATACCTGAAACTAATAAAATGTTATGTGTCAATTACATCTCAATTTTTAAAAAAGAGATAATCTATGAAAGATACTCAGCACAATTCAGGACCCTAAGTTTCTTCTCAGTTGATGTTAGCTATTGTTATAACTTATGAAAAGTATTTAAAACAGTTCCTGGCATAGAGTTGAAACTTAATACATCAGCCCCCACCCCACCTCCTGCCTTTTCCTCAGGCCTCATGAGATTGTTTGAATGGCTGCCACAGCTTCCATTCCCCACCCATGTCTTCCTGACTTGGACCATAATGCTTGACTTAGGGCCTTTGGGTGGTCCTGAAAACAGCTTAGTCCACCAAATAAAGATATCAAAGATTCCCTGACTTCTAAAATGTCTCTTGAAGAACAAAGCACTTTGCTTTTTGATATTTACTTCCAAGAAGAAAAAATGTTCCATTTATTCCTAGTATGTGCATTTCCTTTCAAAGTTCATCTAATTGCAATCTTTAGTTTGTGGGCTTTTTTTTTTTTCCACGAACAAACCAAACCATTAGTAGCTATCAAGGAGCTCAAGATGTATGGGCTGTGAAATCAGTATTCTCTGTGGTACATTAGAATATTATTATTTTGAGTATTATTATCATTATCAGGTAGAGGAAGGAAGATAAGCTGGGAAGTATATCCTTGTGATTATTTTTATTAGGGACCCTAAATGTATATTTCACCAATCATAAGGCATACATAATCTAGATAAACATGTCAAGAATGATGTAAATACAGGTCAACATGAGGAGTTTTACATTTAGAACCAAAAAATGAAAATTTGAGAAATTCTATTGTATCAATAATAAAGTTACTTAAACTGTAGGACCCTGTAAGAGTCCAATTTTCTTTCTTCATATTTGAGATATATTTTCTTAGCTGGAAAACCTCAGATAAAGTCAAGATTTTGATAAATATCTGAGAGGATTTGGTATTTTTAAATTAAATTTCTCTTTATTTGGTTGCTTCTGAGTAGTAAGTTCTGTTTTCCAAGTGCTAATTGGTAATTTAACATACAAAACTACATACCATAGAAACATACTCAGTTTTTAAAATTTAAGAAACTGACTTCTCCAGAAGACTATTTTATTGGCCCAATGCTCCATAGCATAGCCTATAATTTTTGTACTTTTTAAAAAAAACCATAGAGGGAGAAACAAAGACTGGCCTCTTGTAGCAGTTTTGCCTGTGAGAATTTATTAGCTTGCTATGGCCCTCAGCCAACCCTGGTGGGAAATCTAGAGAAGAATTCAATTCTGCTTTTTCCCAGAATACTTGTTGACAAACTTAGTGGCGCTGAAGTGCTACGTGGTTTTTGTGTCCCCCAGAGTCCAGTGATAAGGAGAACATGAGACCAGTGAGGGTCAGTGTTTCCGGAAATACAACGTTAATTCTTAAAATTTACATATTTTTCTCATGAACCTTTAACAATTTCTAAAACCAACTCTATCTGGCTTTAGGAGACCCCGTAGTCCAAGCACACAGCCCATTGCTTCCCTCTAGAAGCATTTTAAGCTTTTAGCTTTTCAGAAACAATCACATCTTTTTGATGACTGTGACTTCAAATACCCTTCCTGCCAGGCTGGTTGTGACTCATAAAACTGCACCAGATTTCAGGAACTCACCCTTAGAAGATGGGTGATTGCAGGTTCTTGAATGTGTAACTGGATGAATACACAGCAAGGGGCTTTTGTTTGAAAAATTCAATCCAAACTCAGATGCTAGCAGCCATGTGTCTTTCTGTGCTCTCAAGAGGCTTCCCTGTGAAAGCACCAGAGTCCCAGTGCTTGATATGCCTGACAGCAGCCACATGACCTTCAAAGCTCTTTAACTGAGTAACTGTAAATAGGACAACAGTCTCACATATGTGAGTCCACCCCCTTTAAAACAAGATCATTTATTTTGACATCTCAGGTGTGACTTTTGCTGCCAGGCTACAGTTTAGGCTGTGTGATAATACTCACTTGCCATACAAAGGCCACTTCTTGAAAGAGGCTGGCACTATCTTTCTAGAAGAGTTTAAGAACCCTGGCTTACTCTAAAGAATGATTTGTGACTCAGATCGGTGTTCCTATATTTAAGTGAGTTGCTTCTTGTGAAGATTAAATGAGAATCATTAACAATCATAATAAATGTATTTTGAAGTAAAAACTTTTACGTGTCCCAGAATAACAGCCCAAATGTGTCTGATAAAACATATTCCTAAAAAGTTAGGCTTTCTATTGTCAGAATAGTCAAAATGCAGACACAGTGTGATTTTTCCTCTCTCAAAACAGACTGTGTTTATTACTGAAATATTAGAAATAAAATGGTAAATGTTCTCAGCCTAAAGTGGCAACATTCAGATTTCCCAATCTTATCAGTTCTGTGATTTAATCTACCCTCCTGAAAATCTGGGAGGAACATGCTGTACTTACATTTACACAGCACTTTTCTTCCTAGAATATCTTGTGTTATGCAGACTCACTATGACAGAGCATTCCAGGAAGAAAGGTTTGAGACATTATTAGGAGGAAACTCATGGAAAGATATTTGCATGAGGTCCTGTGGTATGTCAGTGACTATGACTATACTGTATTTTATATCCCAGTGCCTGTAAACCATGCAGTGGATTCCTTGGGATAATGTACATAAGCCACCTAACATAACATTGGCATTTGGTATATGATTGTTGCTATTGTGCTGATAATGAAAACTTGACTCCACAGGTGCTCTGCTTAGAAATTAAGCTACGAAGGACAAGGGACAAGTCAGGGTGCTAAAAACTAAACAAAAACTGCCTCCCCATACTCCACAAGTAGCCAACCAGCCAAACACTGCCACCACAATAAAGCCAGCAGCACCTGGACTACAAAGGGTGCCCCATAGGAGGGAAGCTGAGGCCATGAGTTCTAAGTCTCCCTCCCACCTGCCACGCTGACATGATTTCCATTAACTCCAGTCTGAAAGATGGCACATACAGCTTATTCTACATGCAAGGTCCAGGGGCCTCCCTGGCTGGAGAAACGAGGCAAATGAAACTTCTCTTACTCCAGGGAGTGGTTTAGTCCTTCTCCATCCCACTCCCCGACCCCTCTGACTGAGGTTAGACTCTGTCATGGATACAGTTTTGGAGGATTCCCACCCCTCTTCCATACAGTGGGACCATATGGTTCAGGATGAGACCCGTACGATCAGATCTCAGTCGAAGGTGTGGATGCTTTGACTGCATGCCTGGCATATTTCTTAGAAGCTCTGGGGGAACCCCATGACAGTCCCAGTCACATTAGATATCTCTCTAGTCATCAACTACAAATAGTGGCTCTGCTGAGATCACCACCTGTCCAACAGGAAATGGACCCCAAACACTTCTCATTCCTACATACCACAAATCATTGGACAACTGGGAATACTTGTGGGTCTTTACCATCCTAGGCTACTTTTGAACCGATGATCTCAACTGGGTGACCTTGTGTTCCATTATCTTTCCTCTAATTCATACCATTAAAAGCTATGCTAAGAATGCCAAGTTACAAAAATGACCTCCTTTCCTGCTTCACCTTAAGAAGGCTTTTTTGGTTGTTCTATTAGGAAAGAACGCAAAATGCACGGCATTCAACAGACTTCCTTCGCAGAGAACAAGTAATACAAACAATAGTGTTATATAATGGATACATTGCTCTTTCCTTTATCCTGTATTACTCTTCCTAATTGATTTCCCAAAAAGGCAAACAAGAGGCTGAGCTACATCCTGCAGCTGTAACCTCTAGGTAAATTGCCACCAAAGGCAATGGAAGATTTTCCAGAGAGAAAGCAAAATTGGCCTCATTGTTCTGTAGCTGACTTAATTCTCCTCTGTGTGTGTTATGTCTTCGAAATACCTACAGCTTACAGTTCTGCATTGTACAGAGAAATGGATATGCTCACAAAAAGGAAATTCAGATGTTTGGGGAGCAATAGAAGAGAAATATCAGAGAAATGACTTTCATCACAACAGCTCGCACAGGTAAGAGTTTTTAAAAAAAACATATACTGAACAGATAAAGAAGAAAGTGATATTTTAATAGAATAGTGAAAAATGCAGCAGATTGACAGTGACAGCAAAAGAAGAACAGGAATACAGATATTTTCAGAGGATTACAATGGTACCATGTACCCTTCAATTAGGCAAGTTTTTATGAGAGGTCTCTAAACATATCTTGTGTACTGAGTAGATGGTTTTCCTTGAAGCTGTCAGAAATGCTTTGTGTTTCTCTACATTATTTCATATTGAATATTTTCCATGGTTGGTCAGACATGGACTTAAAATAGATATGAGAAAGGTCTCCAGGTTTACTGTCAGTAACATTATTAACTTATTAACTTCATTGCCAGCTGGATGACAGCATGATGTGCAAGCAATCCAGATTTACAAGGTAACCTTGCCTGAATCCTCCTGGTCCATCAAAGAAAAATAAAGTGAAGGTGCGAGAACAGAATTGCAAGGAACAATGGGAGAAGCAGTCATCAGAAAGCAAAGCAAGCACAAGAAAGAAATCTGTGAGGTCACTCAGAAATGATACTAGTAACTGTGTGTTCTCACCCTACGGCCTCCACACAAATTGGCTTCCTCGTGCTTCACAATTAGCCCCTGTAGTCAGTAACCCTTCATGCCCTGACCACGTGGTTTCCCAAGGGAAAACAACACCGTCCTGTGTGCCTTTACCTGCAGCCTGCTCACCTTTTTATATTTACTTCATTATTCTGTACTCTACCACTTGATTCAGCTGAAGAAAACAAACCTAGGGTTTTGTGGGCAACTGGAGATGTACTTGGTTTCTTAGGTGGCTGGGGAGGGAGGATGGGAATCAATCTGTAAGGATAATTATCCTTCTTATCCTACCCCATTTACTTTAAAGAAGTCTTTAGCAGTGAGTTAATATATATAAAACATCTGGCAAGGAACCTAATAAGTGCTCAATAATTATTAATACCCTCTTTCTTACCCACCTGACTGAACTATGTACACTCCAACAATCCCCAGGGTACCTTCTCCACAGTATCAAACAGGTGGCTGAGGTTGACAGACCAGAGCTGATCCCTGTTCTTGATAAATTTCTTACTGCTTTACAGTAGTAATAGAGATAAAGCACTATTAAAAAGGAAATCTCAATCAATATATGTTATATTTTCACTACATTTGAACCTTTTCGCCAGAGGAGCACAGCTGTTATATTACATAAAGACTGTGTCCTAATGTTTGATGCCACCGACTTTGACAGTCAGTGTCTTTCCTGTGGCTAAAGCATAAATCCTATGTATCCCGCTTACTTAATATAATGGCACATGTCTGTTTTGGGGTGCTCCCGGATTTTTTAAGTAAGTGTGCAAAGAAGATAAATATGTTTTAAGTCAATCTGAGTTAGATTTTTGACTCATGAAAAATTTTATGCTCCTTGGACCCAGATTGGGAGGTGACATCTGATATTAAGTAAGTTGAGGACTTGCTAGGCATTCTCGGGGACTCAAGTAACACTGCAAACAATTTGTTTCAAGCAAAGTGGACACGCAGCCTCAGCTATAGGATTACTCTTCCACAATAGATGGTTTCCACACCTGAACAGTGACACCACTTTTCTTGGCTGAGAACTTCGGCCGTGGTGCCACGAAATAGGATGTCGATGCTGATTCTTGCTTTGGAGAGCTAGGGATGCCCACAGGCACTGGGGATGCACTGACCGGTGAGGTGGCCTCTGTGAAGAAGGAAGGCTGAGAGCTATAGGCTGGTACTGAGTACACAGAGGAGGCCTGCACATTCATGGGTGAGCTGGCATTCACGGGCCGGGGAGGAAGGGCATGTTTCATGGCCAGCACTGAATTAACCTTGATGGATGATTTTTGGGGGAGGCCATCCTTTGTATCTGGCGGTTGGAAAGTAAACAAGGCTGCATTTAGCTGATATGGTTGGTGCTTCATGACATCTAAAGCGTTGAGGGGTTTCTTGCCCTTTTTCTTGCTCATTTTGGATGCCTGTGGGGCTGATGGCTGAGACTTGACAGCAGCCAGTGGGTAGGAGGGGGAGTGGATAGGATTGTAGGCCACAGGAGGAGGTGCTCGGATGTTGGAGGAGTACTTCCAACTCGCTGGTAGAGAGGGAGTGGGAGACTGAGCACGAGCAGCGTGTGCCTGCACTGTGTCTGAATCTACCACGTACTTCTCCATCCTCGACTGCCTTTTAGCAAAGAGCTGGGCTCCCCTCCCACTCATTCCGGGAAGTTCACCAGATGGTCCCACCGCACGAGAATGAGCAGCAGGCACTGTTGGAGTGGGGGCTGTTGCCTTTGGAGTGTAGTTCTGACTGGCTACTGCTGCTTGCGGTCCTTTGAAGGGACCAGCCAGGTTCAAAGCACTCGCTGGTCGGGCAGGAGGGTAAGAGGGCTGGGCTATTTTGATGGAGGAGACAACGGTGCCCTGTGATGGGTTGGATGTGGGGAAAGCAGGAGGTTGGGTTGGAGCCACTCCTGGTGACCAGACTGGAGAAACTGGAGTCACTGGCTGGGAGGACGAGGACTTGACTGCAGGTTTTGGAGCAACTGGAGGTGGCATCTTTTGTTTTGCAGAGGAGCTTTGCATGAAATTACAAGCCTCTGCTCCTAAACTGAGGTAGTCTTCTTCAGGTCCAGAATCACCTCCAGCACCCCGCTTGCCTTCTGAAGTTTGAAGAAGTGACAAGAGTTCAGGATTGGGGCTTACTTTCGGTTCTTTAAAGGTGAACATGGGTTTTGTCGTGCTTCTCCTTTTGGCCTCCTGCAGTATTCCTGTTCTTTTTGCTGGCACAGAGATCCTTTCATCCCGGGAAGCTATTCGCTCAGATGAATCATAAAAAGCTGGCTGGGACCACGGGGCAGGCTGCGGCCACGGAGGAGGCTGTGCTGGGCCAGCTATCGGACTGGATACTGCCCTGGAGAAGCCTTCAGGCGGAGGTGTGACTGCAGAATAAGGTGGAGGTGCAGGAAAGTCAGCGATGGGACTCGTCATGTTTCGGGTCGGGGAGAAGGGGGCTGCTGTCTGGTTCACAGACCCCAGGAAGGGTTTGGCTGTTCTGTTCATAGGGATCATCCTCTGGGCCTCTGCTGTCTCGGACATCCCACTGAGGCCATTCTGTTGGGGCAAGTGGCCAAGACCATGGCTCACCTCGATGTAGCTTTTGCTCACAGAGCTCTGCACTCTGACGGATTCTTCCTCTTTCCTCTGGTAAGAAGTCATGGTTCTCAGGCCATCTGTCTGGGCAGTGTCTGGTTCTCTGCTTGGCATCCCACCCATCCTCTCCTCCTCTTTTTGTGCCGCGATCTGATCCATTCTCTCCCTCCTCTTGGCAAACATAAGGGCTCCCTTGCCCGTGGTGTCTGGCAGCATCTCCATCTTGTCCCCTCTGTCCAGTTTCTTTTCAATGTTCACTAGTCCAGAGTCCCAGTCAAAGTTCACAACCTGTGTGTTGTCACCTTCAGACAATAACTCTTCATCCACCTCTGACTCACTCGTGCCCAGAAATACTACTTCACATGTGTCTTCTTTGTCACCTTCTTCCTCCTCGTCCACCTCTCGCTCAAGCTCGCCCGTACCGTAGCTGACTAGGGTGTATTTCCTGGCCCGCCTGCGACGCTTCTTAAACATCAACACCCCCTTGGAGTTGGGGTTGGGGGCATCTGTTAGAAGGAGAGCAATGCTTTTGCATTTAGATTTTGCTTCTTTCACCTGCTTTTCTGATAGACTTTCACTCCTCCTGAGCCCTAGGGAAAGTAAAAGTTATATTGAGTTGGAGAGTTCAAGGAAGACTCCATAGCAACCCAGAAACCAACTCTCCTGGGGGAAAGTGAATACGGAAAAAATATCCTTACAATTGGGTACTGAATTTTGAAGCAGTCCAGCTCATTTTTCTGTCTTACTTCTTTTAAAGTGTATACTTCTATAAGTGTATACAATGATACATCTATTACTCTTTACAGTGCTCTGTTTTACTTGCTCATATAATGCATTTTTATGCCTGCTGATTATATTTTCATAATTTGTTTCTGCATGGATCCTTAAACTTTATAACAGACACTGGCTAGTAAATGTTAGTGAATGGGATATAATCAAAGCTAAAAATGAAAAAATTAAGGACATAATATTTTCTGAAAAGCAAGTTAAGACATACCTTAACCTTGCACTAACATATTTAAAAAAATAAATTGTCAATGTAAAATTGTTTTCAAGCATTTTTATAAGGGGTGGGGGCAAGAAAATGTTACTTACCTGAATTTTTTAATGTAATGAATTTAAATATTTGTTTTCTTCCTTTTGTTTTTACTTTGATATTCCCCCAAAGTCTTTGCATTCACACTAACTTAATATAAATTTAAAAAACTGAATGAATAATAACTGAAGGTACTGAATCAATAATTAATAATCATTCATAACATTGGACCATTGTGGAGTACATGTAAGAAACTTCATGTACAAAGTTGTCTAAAGTAAATTTGTAATGTATTGCCATTTTGGAAATACAATATTACTTAGTTGCAACAAATTTAAGTTTAAAAATTATATAACTGGTTACCCTTTTAACTGTGGATAAAAACTAATGCAGAAATCAAGTCAATTAACGTGAGAGTTTGACAGTCTTAAAATAAAAATTTATGTTTAAATTTTTAATTGTATCATTACTGTTTAAAAAATAAATTGGTAACAGATTAATTTACACCATCAGTTATAATTATAATCATGTATTCAACGATAATAGGCATGATTCACAAATAAGTTTTGAATTTCTTAAAATAGCTCAATGGAAATTTCCAAAAATTTTTTAATATTTGTGATTGAAAATTAGCCCTTTTGTCACTGGAAAAAAAAATCAAACTTAATGGTTGTTGAAAAATAAAACAGAATCAAAGTTGTTTTATAACAAAGTTAGATGAATTTTCACTTGTAATTAAATCTAATTTAAAGGGAACAGTAGAAAGTGTGGCCATTCCTAAATGGAATTCC